CTAGACAAAGGGATCCTTTTTCTCATGAGGAGATAAGTGGTTTTGGACGTTTCTGGGAGACCAGGCACAACTTTGTAGTATGTAAAAAGCTGTTGTGGATTAACCCCAGCTGGCAATAAGCTGCACAGAAGGCCAACTATGTCCTGGGCTGCATTAAGAAAGGGGAGGCCAGCAGGGAGGGGGAGGTGTTTGTCCCCCTCTACTAGGCTCTTGTGAGGCCCCATCTGGAGTACTGTGTCCAGGCCTGGGGCCCCCAGCACAGGAAAGACGTGGAGATCTTGGAGCAGGTGCAGAGGAGGGCCACAAAGATGATGAGAGGGCTGGAGCATCTACTATGAAGAAAGGTTGAGGGAACTGGGCTTGTTTAGCTTGGAGAAGAGAAGGCTCCAGGGAGACCTCGTTGTGGCCTTCTGGTACTTGCAGAGAACCTATAAACGGGAGGGGGAGTGACTGTTTACAGGGGTTGATAGTGACAGGACCTGGGCGAATGTTTTTAAACTAAGAGAGGGTAGATTTAGATTAGATATTAGGCAGAAATTTTTCACTGTGAGGGTGGTGAGGCACTGGGACATGTTGCCCAGAGAAGCTGTGGATGCCTCATCCCTGGAGGCATTCAAGGCCAGGCTGGATGGGGCCCTGGGCAGGCTGCTCTAGTGGTTTGCAACCCCGCCTGCCCACAGCAGGGGGGTTGAAACTAGATGATCTTTAAAGTCCTTTTCAACCCAGGCCATTCTATGATTCATTCTATGATTCTATGATAAGCACCACGCAGCTGCTCACTCGTTCCTTCCCCCACCTCACTTCCCCATGGGATGGGGAGGAGAAATGGAAAGGGGAAAAAACCAAGCTTGTGAATTGAGATAAGGACAGTTTAATAATTGAAATAATAATAATAATATAACAAAAAGTGGGAGAGAAATAAAACCCAAGAAAAACACAAGTGATGCATCGTGCAACTGCTCACTGACTGGTGACCAATGCCCAGCCTGTCCCCAGGCAGTGATCATCCCTCCCAGCCCACTCCTCTCAGTTTATATACTGATCGTTATATCCTGTGGTATGGAATATCTCTTTGGCTTGCTCAGGTCAGCTGTCCTGCTATGCTCTGTCCCAGCTTCATGTGCACCCACTCCCTCACAGAGCATGGGAAACTGAAAAATCCTTGACTTAGGATAAGCACTACTTAGAAAAAGTAAAACATCAGTGTATTATCAACATTATTCTCATACTAAGGGCAAAATACTGCTCTGTACCAGCTACTAGGAAGAAAATTAACTCTGTCCCAGCTGAAACCAGGACAGAATTATATACTACTGGGTGAGGAATAAAGTCCGATTTCCCCACCTTTGGGCTGAGAAGAGTCAGTCAAATAAATGGTGTTTCTCACTTCTCTCTTACTGAGGCTAGATTTCGTGCCACAGTCTATCCCTGTCCAGAGTCTGCCACCGAGCGCCGAGACATGCTTGATGGAGTCAACACAAGGATCGAGGATTTAAACACAGTAAGTGGCAGTGGCTTTACTGGGATTCAAACCCTGCAAGCAGTACCTGGCCTGTTGTTTGTCCTGTCTGAAACCCTGTAGCCATGGCCAGATCCCAGGCTTTTTTGTGGGACCTGGCTGTGCAGAGCTGGCTGGGGGCTGGGATGAAGCCACCAGCCTGGGAGCAGCCCCCCACCCCCGCTGTTTGCAGAAGCCAGTGCCTGTGCTCTGCTCTGCCCTTTTACAACCCCCAGGAGCTGCTGGGGGGCTCGAAGACTACTTGCTGGTGTTGCTGTGCAGAGGTCAGAAGTTTAGACGTTATCATATGGCGCTACAGGGTGGGATCTAAGGTCATCAGCACACTACAGATATTGTAACCAAATTGCATATTGTCCAAAATGGTTTCTTCTAGCTTTTACAGCATGGTTTCCCTCAGCAGCTTGCAAAGTTGTTCAGTTACAAGCGTAGTGCAGCTACACCAGGCTCAGAGAGGAATTTGAAGATTTATTTTATATCTAAATTAGGTTTTCTTTACTGAGGAAATCTTGGGGCGCTTATCACGCTAGCGATGGAAAGCCAAGGCTGCTATTATAGAAGTCCAGGTCTCCAACCTCTTTGCTCCAACATTTAACCCAGGGCTGAAAACTACAAGTTCAGTTGCTATGGGTGCGCAGTAGCTCGTGTATCCACATACTGCATTTATGGATATATATATATATATATATAATACTGAACTTCACAGCTTTTGGAAGGACTCCTGCCTGTGACATTTGTATTGTCACATATGACAGTCAGTGGGTCCCTAGGCAGAAAGGAATGGAAACCCTGCTGTCACCCCCTCTGTGGATGCCTGTGACTGTCACTCCTGCACACAAGGCTGCTTCCAAACTGACTTTCACTCCTGAGCATTGTGGGCAGCTAGGCTTCTTCCATGCTTGCAGGTCACACAGGTTATCTCCCTAACACGTTATCTCCATCGCTCATTTATGCAGCAGTGCTGTGGTGGGTACATGATGCGTGGAGGTCCCAGCAGGGCCATGAGCTGTAGCTCTAGCAGGGCAGGCTCACCCATGGATGTGTTGTGCCCCAAATTCATGGCACAGAGCTGCCTACAAGAGATGGCAGGATGGGAGTGCATGGTGGATGTTACCAGTCTGTAAGCAATTAGGTAAGAAGCCAGTCCTACAGGTCAGTAACTCCCGATGGTCTCCTCTACACTTACAGAGGCTTGGGGTCATGCAGGGAGAGTCTTTATTGAATAGCATTGTGCACCTGTTGTTGAATGCTCCTGTGTCCAGACTGCACACACTGCCCTCCAGGACACCCCACACATTCACATGCATTGCTCCCTTTCCACAATCCTCTTCCAGCTGCCTTCCCCAAATAACTGCTGAGTAGGCCATGCCACCTGTGCCTTCCTATCTCGAGCACTGCCTGTGCTGTGCTTACAGGTGATAACCCAAACCGAGTCCCACCGCCACAGACTGCTGCATGAGGCAGCAGCCAACTTGTGGTCCTGGGGGATCAAGGTGAAGAAAATCAAGGCCATCTACCACATCCTGAATTGCTGTAACATCGACGTCACCCAGCAGTGCGTCATTGCAGAGATCTGGTTCCCAGTGGCTGATGCTGGCCGAATAAAAAGAGCTCTCCATCAGGGGATGGTAAGAGACCAACATTTTGGGCCCCTGAAGCTGTCACCCAAGTTGCATTGTTTATATGTTGAGCATATGTTCAGACTTCTGTCTGTTACTGTAATGCTGGGCTCTCTTTTCTGTTTTAATTAAAGTTGAGGTTGTTGCATGATTGCTTGGCCTTGGGGAGTTTGAGGTCAGCATTAAATCTTAGCAGGTTTGTGATCGACCCCCAAGAGTGATCAGTGCTGGCAGCTTTCCCTGAACAAATCAATAGCACTGAAAATGGAAATAGCTGGATATTAGGAAGAGTTGAGATGTGACACTCTTGAGCCCAGCTTTCATGTTCCTGCCTGTGCATGTCTGGACACAGACCTTGGTGCTGTGGGACTGATTCCTCTCTGCTAGCCACCCTGATTGTGTCTGTCCTTGTCACTGGGTCTGCAGGAGCGCAGTGGCTCTACGATTGCCCCTATCCTAACCGCCATAAACACCAGGATGGCACCACCCACCTTCAACAGGACCAACAAGTTCACAGCTGGATTTCAGAACATTGTGGATGCATACGGTGTGGGCAACTACAGGGAGATGAACCCAGGTGAGAAACACTCAGCAAACTGCACCTGGCTTGCTAGAGCCAAAGTGAAGCTGTTGAGCTCTGTCACTGTCTTAAAACATGCACTCATTGCTGATTGAGAAATGTGAACCATATTTTCTGCTGGCAAAAAATGGTACTGTTTGGTGCATAGACATCAATTTTCTCAGGCAAAGAATTTGGCTGTCAGTCTTCCATGGCTGATTGCGGCAGGAATAATGAACTACACTAATATAGGATACAAATGGTGAGGCAGCAGCACTAAGGAAAAGACCTAAACTCACAAGGCAAATATAAGTTGACTGTAGCATACTGAGACAAAAAAAAAAGCCAAAAGGACCTGAGAAAAGTGTGAAACTCATCTCAAGGAGAGCACTGAGAAGGAACAGAAACCTAGAGTCTTTTGGTGGTAAAGCTAGTCCTGAACTAGATCTGATTGCCTGGTGAGTAGCGGAGGGATCATGGAGGCTTTAAAGGGCAGCAGCTGTATGGAATGGTCCAGTGGGATGTGCTGCTTCTCTGATGAGGTCTTTTTTGTTTAGGAGGAGCTGAGCTTCTTGTCCTTTCCTTCCTGCAGCTCCGTACACTATCATTACCTTCCCCTTCTTGTTTGCGGTGATGTTTGGGGATTGTGGCCATGGTGCTGTCATGCTAGGCTTTGCGCTCTGGATGGTCATTAATGAAAAGAGCCTTCTTGCCCAGAAAAGCACTAACGAGGTGAGTACGAGGGAGCTGGTGCACCCTGTAAGCACAGGAAAAGGCTTATCATCCCCATTTGATAAATGGGGCATCCAGCTTCCCAAAGGCTGAGTAGAGATCCTTCAAAGATGCTCGTGAGGCAGAGATTTGGCAAGTAACTCCACCTGCTCCTACATGGAGACCTGGATGGGCCCAAGGGACCTGGAGTTTTTCATGAATAATTTTATCCACTTGATTAGTAAAATCATGTCTACAACCTGTTCACTGAGGCCCACCAGGTGATGGGACTGCAGGTACTTTGGTCACTGGCACTGCCTTCTCCCCCTGCAGATCTGGAACACCTTTTTCAGCGGGCGCTACCTGATCCTGCTCATGGCCATATTCTCCATGTACACTGGCTTCATCTACAATGACTGCTTCTCCAAATCTTTCAACATCTTCGGCTCTTCCTGGCATATCATCCCCATGTTTAAAAATAGCACTTGGAAGTAAGTAGCCAAGTGTGGAAAACAATTGAAAACGCACCGAATGGAGCATGTAGGCTTTGAAAGAAAGACACAGTGACTGTCTGTGTGGGGAAGGGAAGAACTCCCTACTGTGGATGCAGTCATGAATGAATCAGAGGCTTTGTCTGACACACACAGACAAACTCACTATTGAAATGGAAATGTAGAGTCCCTAGTAACACACCTGTTTTTTCAGTAACTGATGTGCAGGTGTTTGGGACTGATGCATAGAGAATTATCAGTGTGATGGAGACTGTCACATACACATACGCACACTCATGCATGCACACACACATGCCCAGGATAACAGTTCACAGAAAGGCTGGAGCTGGTGACACGTGTCATGTGGTAGTGTTCAGCACATCTCACATAAAGGTACTGTGGGCTTATATAGTGAGATTAAGCTGCAAAGGCCATTTCACTTTTCTTTTGTAGTAAGGATGTGCTTCTGGACAATGCGGTGCTGCAGTTAGATCCAGCAGTCCCAGGAGTCTACTCTGGAAATCCATATCCATTTGGAATAGATCCGGTAATTAAATTAAATTGCTTGAGGATAATTTATATTTCAATCCTGTTTCTACATATCAAGTACATCAGTAGCTCCCTGCTCTCTCTTCTGAAGCCATGCTCGTCTCTTCTTGCTCTTTGCCTGTTCTTTATGTAGTAGTTGTGATGCTTTTCTTTAGCAATCAAGGATATATATTGCTGACGGTTTTACACAGGCAGCAACAAAATGGTAAACAGGAAAGAACTTTGATTTCTCTGGAGAGTGATCTTGTGCTGCAGTCTCTTCTCTGTCACCAGGCTGTTGGACTGTTTCCTTACTTGAGTACTTAACTCATTCCAGAGCTACCTCACAAGTTTGAGGGCAAAGTCCGAATTTCTATGCAGTGTATTTATCATAGGAAGTGTGAAGTAAATGCCAGTATTACTTAATGGATCCACATTTTCTTCTCTGTGTCCTATCTCCCTTTTCTTGCCATTCTGACCTTATCACTTATTGAAATGCAGTTGTTAACATCAAGCTTTCCTGTTTCAATCTTCGTATCAGCCAATTAACCTCTGACCTACTGGATGCACTCTCATTTCAGTTGGTCACACAAAGAAACACTGGCTTCCCCTGGTTTGCAGAGAGTTTGACCTTGTAGTTTTTAACAAACCTGGCTCTACAGCTCTGTGCAGGACATAGGCAGTGCTGTTCAAGAAGTCATGACAGGAAGCTGAATTTTCTGTACATTGCCCTGACACATCCCTAATTTAGGCTAAAACAGGGTAGGCCCTCTTCCACCCTGTCTGCTGCCTGCTTGGGAGGCTGGGACCCCTGTCTGGGAGGGAGGAATCGCTGAACAAGTGCTGTCAGGGAAGGAGTGGACTGGAAAGCACCAGCCCCCACATGGCCCTCTCTGTGGAAATTATCCGTGTCATCTGCTCAAGAAAGATGGATGTCTCTTTGCGTTGTGCAACTCCTGGCAGGATGGCTAAGGTATAGAAGAGGAAAAGTATGTTGGACAAACGTAAGCTAAAGTTTTGCCTTCCAAATAATCCTGTCTTCCCTCCTTTCTGTGCAGCTACTATACTTAATATCTGAAAAGAGGTATCTACTTACCATCTGTGGGGTCAGAAGACTTTGGGGTCTAGAAAGTTTTAGAAGAAAGGAGAAGGAACCCTGGGAGCTCTGTAGCATAAAAAAAGCAGGACTGAGAAGAGGCAAATGGTTACTGTCCTAACACAACTGAAACTTACTGTAGAGAGGCAGGTGATAATCTGATCTCTGTGGCCAAAGAGCTGGAATGAGAGTTTTTTTTGTTCAAACAAAAAGTTTTAACATTCTCTGCCCTCAGTACTTCTTTGGTGAAGGCGGAACAAATTTCCGTAGCAGCAGGAAGGATTTTCTCATGTCTTTTCACCTCTGCTGAAGGAGATTACTCTAGCCTAAGGGCAAGGAAGGACACTGAAAAGATCTAGGTTCTGCTACCAGCCTTTGCATCGGTTTCTAGAGGACTGAAGCAAAGTCACTACACCATTTTAAATCTCTATTATTTCCTCTGTTAAACAAGGATAATAGTTCATACCTTTTAGATGAGAAGCTTGGCAGAGTGAAAAGCATTATAGGGAACATCTAGATTTCTGTTGCTTGTTATCTTCTTACTAGAATGGGTAGGAGTAAGTTGATGGTGTCAAAGCAACAACTTCCACAAATCCATTATTGAGCAAACACTTGAAAACCTTGTTCTTCTGTCTCTGCTCCTTTTCCCAAAGATCTGGAATGTTGCATCAAACAAGCTGACTTTCCTGAACTCCTACAAAATGAAGATGTCGGTTGTGATAGGGATTGTGCACATGATTTTTGGGGTGATACTCAGTCTCTTCAACCACATGTAAGTATGTTTCACCAAGCCCATTGCTGCAGCACACAAGTCTTCACCTCTAGTGTCCTTCATTCAGAGAAAGCTTCATATCTTGGACCAATGACTTGAATTTTGCGCTTTCCTCAGAGCAAGTAGAAATGCCCTGTACACTGACTGACTCACACCACTGTTGGTACAGTGCTGAGTCCAAAGGCTGGAATGACAGCTATCACATTGCAGATACTGTCTTGGATAAATTCTCTTCTTCACTTTGTCTCTTGCATTCATGATTCTGCAGAAATACTGAAGTAAACTAAATTAAAAATACATAACAGCTCCCACTATTGATAACTTTCGTCTTGAAAGACAAACTCTTTTGGTCTAATCCAAAGCATGCAGAAATCTTGCACAGTGACTGTGAGTGCGTTTCACCTGACTTAGCAGGCCTTTGGTCAGGGTGTGTGTGTCTATACCTCTGCCTCTGTATTTTGCAATAAAAAATAAAAAATTATGTTAGAGTGGAGAGGCTGACACTACTGTCTGGAGGGACTCTCCAAAGCTGGAAGGTGTGTGTTGACCTTCAAGGATGGAAAGTGTTTGCAAATGACAGAGAGGAGGACTGCCCCTACAGAACTGAATCTACACCTGGTATATACACCTCAGCATATAAAGCTTAACTTTGTAAATTAGCCATTTTTTGAAAATTGGCTTTTATTTCAGTGTGATAATCTTTTGAGGTGCTGAGATACTGGTGGGTCAAGTAAAAAAGAATCAGTATGACAAAGCTTTTGTATTTAAATAATGGCTTTCATGATAAAAGCTGCAATTACAGATTTCTTTCTTGGCTAGTGACAGTTGTATGTTTCTAACGTTATTTTCCAAAGACTAAGTAGTGTACAGTACTGCCATACTCGGGTGCAACTTTGTATTAATTGTAGCTATCTTTCCTGATTCTTTCTAGCTACTTCAAGAAATACATAAACATTATCCTTCAGTTCATTCCAGAGATGATTTTTATTCTCTCTCTTTTTGGCTACCTGGTCTTCATGATTATTTTCAAATGGTGTCATTTTGATGTCCACTCATCCCAGAGCGCACCAAGCATCCTCATCCACTTCATCAATATGTTTCTGTTCAATTACGGTGACACTTCAAATGCTCCATTATATCTGCATCAGGTATGGATCAGGCAGCTCAAATCCACTGTAGCTGGTTTTGGATTTGCAGTGGGTGTTGTGGAGAGTGGGCATAAAGATGGGGAAAAAGCTCAGAAGCTCAATTACAGGTACCAGTCACATAAGAGAAGTTTCTTCTTCTAGTATTCATGTTGGTCTTGTAGACAGGTAGGACAGAGAATCTATCAATCAGTGATTCAGAGGAAACCTTGTCATCCTTACAAGAATGATGATATAATTTAAGACAGTTTTGGGGAAAAAACAGAAAGAAGGGTGATCAGAGATGCCAAGCTGGGTATTACAGATGTGATGTTCTGAAGTCTTGGCATGATGCTAGAGAAAAAGCAAGCCTCTCCATTCCTTGATGATTTCTCATTTCTTCTTTGGAAAACTTTAAAATTTTATATTTTCAACTAAAAACCAGAAGTAGCTAGAAGATATTCTGGCACCTTTTTGTCAGAAATATCTCCTTTGGGGAGTTCACTTAAAAAGACCCCACAAAAGTGAAAAAATCTCCCCTAAGAGAAAGCTTAATTTAAAGACATCTCTATTAATTTGCTCAGAACATGGATTATTTTTTCTCTTGCTTGATTTTGCATCAGCAGCATCAATGAAGAATCTACAAGCAAATGCTTCCTCCAGCCACATTTATGCATCTACATTAATACAGTTGCACACTCTGGCACTCCACCATGAGCTCAGTTTTAGGGCTGCTGGTGAGTCAGAGTTAGTAGAGAGCCCGAATCAGTTCCAAGTAACTGCATTAAGGCTTCAGGGAAGTTTGAGAAAACAGTTTTCCCAGCCTTCAAAAAGTTATTAGATAACGTTTTGCTTTGTAACAACCCAAAGCCTTTCCAAGATGGTGATTTTTTTCTCATATTCCTATCTCCCAACCCCACCAGTAATTGTCTGTGGTATCAACCTGGGCAGTCTGAATGCAAAGATTGTATGAAACTGACCGTAAGGTGATCAGAGATCTGAGCCAGTTTTAAAAAAAATGCAAAAGTTGTACTTTGGGTTTTTCTTTGGGTTTTTTTGTTCTGTTTTTTTCTTAAAGTACAAACACTTATGTTAGGACAGCAATAGGGCTGGCATACTGCAACAATAAGACCTTATATTGTGCGGGCAATGTGTTATCAAACCAAAGCTATGGCGATTCAATTCCCTTCTGGAATTGCAAATATAGAGCAAATCCTGGATCCCCTTCCTGGGGAAGACTTGAATGACTTGGCTCTTACTGCAGCATTTCTACTTTGTTCAAAGCAAGGCAGACTAACTGGCTCACCCAGCATCTGGGACATTCACTTGGGACATGAGAGCCACGTTCAAGTCCATAATATTGGGTTTTGGCAAATTAACCCTTTCCAACATAAAAGCCTTTCACCTCTGAGTCTCCAGCCATCTCTCGCTGGCAGTGCTTTTTGGAGCCTTAAGAAGTATACATTTATTTTCATATCCTTTCAAGCAGAAGAGACTCAACTGGTACTGAGAATGTATCTGTTGTATAAAAAAATACCATTTTATAGACTCAGATTTCTAACCATAAATGTAGTTGGCTAAAGGAAGTAAAGTGACTTTTTGCTGCTCTTGTTTTGTCTTTTAGAGAGAAGTGCAGAGTTTCTTGGTCATATTTGCTCTGATTGCTGTTCCCTGGATGCTCCTAATTAAACCTTTCATCCTCCGAGCCAATCACCAGAAAACGCAGCGCATGGTAAGGGATATGGATCAGGCAAGGGAGTTTCAGTACAGCAAAGGCAAAGCTGAAGAGACAGACTCAAAAAACTGTTTGCAGTGATCTAACTCTGCTTTTGTCTGATCCCAGGGTTTCTCCAGTGATTTCAAGCTGTGCTTTATGACTGAGAGCGGGTGTAGGGACATTTGTCTGAGCCACCTTAATGGGAAGCAGGAGCTTTGTTCACAAGGCTGTACCCTATTTGTTGTGAGAGGAGTTGGGCTGACACTGGGCTCTTTCAAGTGTTGTATCCAAAACCAGAGAAGGCTTAGAAAGACTGAAGTGCTGGTACAACCAGGACAGGGCAAAGACCTTGGTTCCCAGTCCACAACCACCACTAACCACAGGTTAGCTGCTCTGTAGGAATGGGGAATCTGCAATACTCCTGGCCTTGGAGAGATCAGCACTGCTTGGAGGAGAAGCTTGATTTAAAAGCTGTTGTCTGCTTTTCAGTGGTGCTTTCTTCCCTAAGTGGTTGCCTTCACATTAACGGAGCCTCCTTCCCATGGGCTCTGTGGTTTGCCCAGATCTTCATCACATAACTGCAGCAGCTGCAGTTTCCTAGTTGTTCGTTAATTCTTTCCTTTGGTATGCTAACAGGACTTTACTTGTCTGTCAGGATTTACTTCTCTTTATATTCAGAGTTAGCGCCTGGAGTAGTACCTTTTATAGGGCACAAATGTTTCCATTTGAAGAAAGAGATGCAGGTTGTGCTGCATGACCTTTTCCAACCCAGTCACTTCTGAGCTATAACTAAAAGCCAGGTCCCTGGGAGACCTTTGCAGCCCTGCCTCTGCACTGTAATTTCTTGTTTTGTCACTCTTCTGGGATCTGGATGAAAGCTTGTCACGGCTGACTCCATCTCCTGCTTTTATGCTAGTAGCATCTGACAGCTTTTCCCCTTCTCCTATTATGCCCCTGTATTTCTGTTCCTAATTTTCATATGTCACTTGTCTGATCCCATCTCACATTTACCTAGATTTATATGTTTGTAACAAAGTCTGTTCTCTATGCTGACATTCAGGTAAAACAAAGATATAGTGGGTGTGACAATGATTACTGCTGCAACAGGAAACAATATGTTACCATGAGATCATGCCTGTGAAACCTGCTGGAGGCTATAAAGAGTGACAGGACAAAACCTGATAGAAGCTGTGAGGTCTATATCTGGTTATGCTGTATAATAGGACTGTTATAGGCATATAATGTAAGGCTATTCTTATGCTGTGATGTCATTTCTGGAGTAAGGATCAGATCAGGTTGTTCAGACCTCTAGAAAACTCTGTAAAGAATTATTATGGAGAGAAGATTGGTTACCATGAGGTTTTTGTCAATTTAAAATTAATCAAGAGATCTGAGTTGTATTTCTGTCTGTATCCCAGGAACTGTGTGACCCTCATGAAGTCACCTGATCCTTTCAGGCTCCATTCCCTTTTCACTTGATGCTAATTGCTTTGATTTGCACCCATCTAATTGATATCATCAGCTTTAATGTGCTTCAGGTTTCTCATTTTCCAGAAGTGATGAATCTTCTTATGATGGGTGTAAAGGGTGTATTGAGAGACTGGAAACTAACTCCAAATTAGTTGGAATCACTGGAAAATGCTCTAGATGGAAAATATTTAAGTATTATTAGCCATTTGGCAGGAGTACTCAGTTTCTGTGGTCCATGATGACTGACTATTTTTGAAATTGTCTTTATGTTCACGATATAGTCCTTCATACGTTACCCATCATGAGGTTATTGATGCAGTTCTATGCCATTGTCTGCCTCATTTTGGTATCAACCTCTACCATGACACAAAAGATGTATTACGTTTTGTTTCTGAAAGATTCAGTCTCAAGTTATCTCAGGAAACCCTGGAGGTGAAAATGAGGTAGATGTCCCAGAGACAAATCACTCCAAGAAAGCTTCCCAGAGAGACCACAGTGGTGGCCATGGAGGACATGAGCATGATGATGAAGAGGTGAGAAAATGTGGGCAGAAAATTATTCAGACAGAGAAAATAGTAGAAGACACGAAGTCAAGCAGAAGGCTTTTGAGGAGTTGCCAGCCCTTCTTTTTGACAAGATACCAAGACACACTGTTGTAACAGTTTGTTTCCAAGCAGAGTAAGCTTTGAATTTTCATAGAATGAATCCCTCTAAATTTTTCCTTTAGTTCTGCCTGATGAGGGCGGGCATTCTTGCACACCTCAAGCTTGTACAAACCTCAAGATTTTCTTTCCCTGGGTGGGTGTTGCACTTCCACACTGGACCCAGAGAAGGTCAAGCCTTCCCTAAGAGTCAGTGAGTGTTCCTTTCTTTAAATTGCAAAGGAGCATTGAAAAGTTGGCAGCCTGCAGTGTTGGCTAGGGAGAAAAGTCTTCCTTTGGCAGATATTGTCAAAGGTTTCTGCAGTAGGCAGCAACACAGTTAAAAAAGTGACAGAAGTGTTTGTAGTAGTTAGAAATACCAACAATATTGAGGGTGAATATGTCTGGCTGTTCCCAGTCACAAGGAATCTTCAGTTTTAGAAGATATGCTTATTCAGTGGCATCTCCCAAAACACATATGCCAATAGGTAGATAGTCTGAAAAAACTCTATTTTATATAAAAATTTCTGTCTCTACAAGAAATCAAAAAGATTGGTAGCAATTGGATTGCCATCTTATTACAGATTTGAGAGTGTAAGACTGGAAGATCAGCTGGGTCCTGAACGTTTGTTTTTTCACTGGAATTGTATTTTTCTGGAGAGAATGCATGGGAAGATCTTAGAGAACTGATAATTTTCAAAGCAGTCTTTTTATCTGGGAACTAGCTATGAGTTGTTCAGGACACATTAAGGAAAAGTGAAGAGTACGAGGAGCCTTTGGTGGAGTGTTGCTCTGTTAACCCGGAAGCCCCGAACTAAGAACTAATAAAATGCATTTGGTTTTATGTTGTTTCAGTTTGATTTTGGAGACACATTTGTCCACCAAGCTATCCATACCATTGAGTACTGCCTTGGCTGCATCTCCAACACAGCATCCTACTTGCGGCTCTGGGCGCTGAGCTTAGCCCATGCACGTGAGTTATTGACTACCTGTTAGTTACCTCACCAGCAGCTCCATGCTGATCACTGCTTCTGTCAGTGTTTGGTTATTGCTCAAATCTCTCCATGAAATCAAAGTTCTCCTTGTGGACTTTCATGTCTCAGAATGTTTTGCTTCAGGTCAGATCAATCCAAGCATTTGTGGTGGCCATCTCAGTTTTCAGTGGTGATCCCTGGCAGCTATATATCAGGCACCTTCTGACTGCATTTACTGGCTGGGGCCTCTTTCCTGTGCTGCTCTGTATCCACCCCTCTGGAATAGTCCTCATGGTGTGTGGCATGGTGGGATGTACAGTCCAAATGGGTAGTCCAGTCCATAGGGGTAAAAGCAGTATGGGAACCATAGCTTTATTTCCCAAGAGGCACTTGCTATAGCCTTAGGATATGCAGATGAATGTCAAAACGACTTGAAACAGTTATTGTGATTTGGTTTGAAAAATAGAAAGAAAAGTTTGGGTTCAAGAACTCCTGTAATTTGTCATTTTCACTGGGATTTTTCCCAGCAACATTTAGTGGAACCTCACATTCGATGAGAAATGTACAGCATGCCAATGTCTTTTGTCTTGATTTAAGATTAAAAAAACCCACTCAAATACTAGGAATTGCCTTAGGCTGGAACTTCAGATTTTCAGTGACTCTAATTTTTCTGAATTTTTTTTAAATTAATATTGCTGTACTGCTTCTGGCTAGAATTTGCACCTGCCCTAAAGAATTGGGCACACATAAAAGAAAAACAAAAGGGGCGCATGCCATGGGTTGACAGGGGTGAGCTGTACTTCTTGGCACAGAAATGAGCTTAGTAGGAGTTGAGTGAAAGCTAATACATATTAGCTTTACAAGGAGGGCAGGTATCTAAAATAAAATAAACCATCTGAAAAGCTTAGCTTGAATCTGAATATGGCTCAAGGACCAATGACTGTCAAAATGGAAGGCTGAACTGGTGGCTGGAGCATCTGGATGGAGAAGAGCTGGGCTAAGTCCTTGCTTTGCCTGTATCACAAGAGGAAATTTGCTCAGTCCTGAGTCTATCCTGTGTGCCTGGGATAGTTAAGTTAGGAATATGTTATTGAGCCAACAGCACACATCAGGTATACCAGTACTGTGACTGCTGATCTAAACCTGTGCAGGAAAAAAAAAATCTTCAAGAGCATGCAAGCAACCTAAATACTAATACAGTCTGCCTTGATAGGACAAGAACAAACAGCCTCAAGTGTCGCCGGGGGAGGTTTAGGCTAGATATAGAAAAAAATTATTCACTGAAAGAGTGATCAGTCATTGGAACAGGCTGCCCAGGGAAGTGGTGGAGTCACCATCCCTGGAGGTGTTCAAGAAACGTGTAGATGTGGTGCTTAGGGACATGGTTTAGTGAGTTAGGTGGTGTGGGCTGATTGTCGGACTTGATGATCCTTGAGGTCTTTTCCAACCTTTATGATTCTATGATTGAGTGGGACCAATCAGTTGTCTTTTTTTTTCCCCACCACAGCTTCTCCATGACACCCTAAGAGAAATGATTTTGAAAACAAATGGGAATTGCATGTCTCCTGTGGGTCTTACCTAGAATCAATCAGTATAACTTGTAACCTAATCTACCCATGTATTGACTGCGTTTATCGATCATGTTCACTGGGATTTAGCAGCAGGCTGTCCTAGAAGGCTTTGTATACTGCCTATCTGCCATATTAAAGAGATGCAAATTAAACTGATTATTGTATCATGCCAGGGTGACAGCAGACTTGGTAGTGTGCTTGCATGGACTTGAGTTGCAAAGCCAAGCCAAAACAGCACCATCAGCTTCCAACACAGTGAAGAGGAGCATTGGAAAAAACCTGCATCCATTTTCCTTCCCTGGTCATCATGGGGACACAGGGTGGCCATACATGACTACTGTCATGTACATTTTATCCTAGGCCAACTCATCTAGCTGGGAAAAATGGGTGAGCTGCTAGACTGTGCGCTGTGTCTGTCCAGGGCTGTTGCTCAGCACTGTTTTTCCTTTATTTCCTTTTGCAGAACTATCAGAGGTCCTTTGGACCATGGTAATGCACAATGGGCTCAGAAACAGCAGCTGGGCAGGACTCATCATCATGTTCATCATCTTCGCAGCATTTGCAGTGCTGACGGTAGCCATCCTGCTTGTCATGGAGGGGCTCTCAGCCTTTCTGCACGCCTTGCGTCTGCACTGGTAGGTGGTGTGGTCTTTGGAAGCTTTTCCCAAAGCAGTATTTGTGAGAGACTGGGCTGTGGAAACAGATGGCCACATCAGCCAGTGTTAGACATGCTGTGCTACTACCTATGCATTAGGACATCAGTCCTCCTTGGCAAATTAAGCGAGGGAGACTCCTCCAAAAGGAGATCAGAGCTCCTTGCTCCATCTCTGAGCTGCTTCCTGGCACGATGGGCCTGTCCTCCTGAGCCTGTGGGGACTGTGGGCACGTGTGGCAAATGGCAACCTGTAGATCGGCCCTGGTAAACATGCAGTGCCACTGAGGCCACCTTGATCCGCATGATAAGACCTGAAGGCACAGCCATAGCATTAGTTGCATATCCCACCCAGGGTTACTGTCAAACAAGCCAGCTGGGGACAGCCTCCTGCAGCAAGAGTTCATCCGGGGCTGCAAAACCTGGCGAAAACCTGGGTTGGCCCTTATGCCATTAGCCCAGGTTGAACTCCAGGCTGTTTCGGCTTTGTGGCAAACCAGTTTCAAGTTACCTCATGCCTGCCTTAGCTAGATGTCAGTCCAGGCAAGGACAGCAGCGTGGATGCACCATCAGGCTACTATGTAAAGCAAGACCAAGGTAACAATTTGCCCCTTACCACCACCATAACTTGGCATCCTGCCTGAGCACCCAAGCTGTGGCCTTTTTCACTGTGTGACGTCCCACCACAAACGCTGCAAAGGCAAACCGTGGTGCAGTTGCTTGTCGTTGTGCAAGGAGAGGGAGATGTCTGTCTCCCACCAGGGTGTGCGACCAGCAGGTGTTTATCCCAGCTCTCAGAGCTATTAGAAGTAGTTGAGCAGGCAGGCAATGTCCTGCCAACTGGCCTCATGAGGAGCGTTTCCAGGCTGACCGATGGAATGTCAAAGCTGAGGCGTCCCAAGTTGCTTCTAGGGCTGCCTGTGTCTCTCTGCTGGCTCCAGAAGGAGCCTGTGTTCCCAGCTCAGAGGCCATCATCTCTCATGGCCTCCCTTTTCCATGGGTGCCACGTTATGGCCTCTTGGCTTGCTGTAGGTCCTGCCTGTAGGCAGCACTGACACCCCGCTCTGCTCCTCCCCAGGGTGGAGTTCCAGAACAAGTTCTACGTGGGAGCTGGGTACAAATTTTGTCCGTTCTCCTTCAAGCACATCATCGATGGCACCGCAGAAGAGTGAAGCCAGTGCATCGCTGCTTCGCTCTGCAGACCAGGCTCTATTCTCTTCTGGTTGGTCACCCACAGAGTGGAGTATATGGGATGAAACAGAATGTGATGTGGCCCTTGAAAGAAAGGCACCTGTAAATGAAAATGTCCTAGCTGCATTCCCATATACTGCTGTATGAGCTGAGAGCTGATATTACATCAGCCAGGCTGGCTGGACCCTTGGCTGAGTGTCTCCACTGGTGTCTTTGTCAAGTACCTGGTTTTCAGCATTTGATTGGGTCAGCTGCCTACCACTTGGCTGAAAAGAGGAGATGCAGCTTTTGAATTAAATTGGTTATTAATAATCAATTCGCATGTGTTTTGCTCCATTTACTGCCTTGTCTTTGTGGAATATTTCTTTCCAAGGAAAATATGTTTCAGCTGTTGTTTCAAGCTGTGGTTGATCATATGACAACGATTAAGTTCTTTATAAGATTGCAGCCCTTCATTTAGCACACAATGCAAACCAGCTCAAAGACAGATCATATTGCAGGCTTGCAATTTTCTACATGCTTTACTACAAAAACCCTCTTTTTATCTCATTTGCTCCAGGGCTTGACAGCGCTGGATTATAGATGTTTGCACACTTCATCACTTAACAGAAGTGTTAGTTTCGAGATGTGTAAACAAAAGAGTGCCCCAGTTTCCACATTGGCAGCCAATTTATTTCTCTCTGTTGACTTGTTTCTCACTGGAGTCTTAAGATTACTCCACCTGTGCTGTATTTTTCAAGATGGGTTGTTAAAGCAGACTGTGTAGAAATGCTAATACCCAATGAACAGAAAGAAAAGAGGAATCAAAACAGTTGAGATGAATTTGCAGATCTTTCCTAAATATTAATTAATTACTAATCTTTCAAATTGAATAGAATTATTCATGACAGGCTACTTTTTTTTCAAGCATAGAGGATGTAAAATGCCCCCACAAATTTGGAGGTGAGTGTTTCCTTCCATGGAGTGTGACCAAACAAGCCTCCTTTTTAAACTTTGCACCCCTGATATGCAGCTCCACCAAAGTAACTCACCTGGGAGTGTTTCCAGCAGGACACCCAGTGCAATAGTCATCATGGACTGTGAGTCTGCAGCAGTCAGGCTTGAGAGCCACCTTCCTGCTATAGTGACTGGGGAGAAAATACAGCCCAGGCAAAGCAGTTGTTCCAGTTCTTGCTTTGTGGTGCCAAGAAGCCATACTGACATTGGACACTGGTTACCGTCAGGAGTCAGGAGCCTTTTTCCCTTTTAACAACGGCTTTCGTTTGGAGCTGCGGCTGGAGCTGAGAAGAGGTGGGTCCATGACCCACACGTGGCCTTGTGCCACAGGTTCTTTGGGCATGGGTAACCTACAGTAAAGACAAAAAACACATGGATGTGAGTGTAGCTGGTGTCACAGTCACTCAGCATATGCACATCACCTTTATTTCTTCCTTCCAGACTATTTTGTTTATTCCTATTTAGAAGAAAAGCTATCTTGAAGCAAGAAAGGCCAAACTAGTTTGATGCATTACCAAATGCAGAGAAAACAATTTTCTTTATGAAACAGTGGGTGGATTTTCTTCACAAACACATATTTTATCTTCATTGCACCCTCCCATATGATTGCAATGTAACCGAGAAGGTGATTACCTGAAACAGAATATCTGCTCCTTGTAGAGCTTCTTGGTATTTCACTTTTTGGCTGAGGTTTACATTTTAAGCAGGAAATGTTATCCTGAGAATACTGCAGGTGACAAGACGGTCTGTTGTTTGCTGTACCAAACAGCGATTCCAACATTTGGCTTAATTCGGAATTAATCTCTCCCTTTCTGTGTGCAACTGAACAACGCAGTAGAGCCTGTGGCTTGCTTGAACATTTGTGATACGGGAATGGCGCTTCCCCACTCCCCAAGAGGACTAAGCCCACTTGTAATCAGGGAGCACTGAGAAGAAATCCTGCTGATAGGCAACATTGTTCTTATGCACTTTGAGGAGAGAGCCCTGACTTTCATCTGGGTTGTTTTAAAGACTTCTTTAAAAACCCAGAAATGTTTCAGATAGTGCCTTTTTTTTTTTAAGGTTTTCCTGTGGAAGATAAGGGGGGTTTTGGAGCAGGGCAGTGACTGCTGATGCTGTGAATGTGGCCACCAGATGTGGTCAGATCCAGCAGAGACCACTGTTACAAGTATACCTTGGTACAACACCCCAGTGTCTTTATCTGGAATTTACCCATTGCTGGAGGAGGTGTGACTTACAATTACCTGACTGGGAACTCTTCCCAAGTCAGGACCTCAGCATGCCCCTCCGAGGCAGGCTTGGAATCAGTGCCTAGAGAGGAATGGGTGCTTCTGGATCCAAAGCTCATCCCATTGCTAGGAAGGTGTTTGTTTCTGAGAGCTGGTGATAGGAGTTAAATCACTTTGTAGGAAATTAATATAAAAAAACACAGTGAATGACCATGTAGGAAGGGAAAGGAATAACAAGGTCAATCAAACTGGTTTCAGTCACTTGAACTCATTCTCTCCTGGATTTTTTATTCCTTCTCATGAGAGCCGTTGCTATGTGTGGCCAGGCCCTCCCACCAGGATGACTTTGGTGATGTGGAAGATGAGGAAAGCCAGGTATTGAGTTCTTGTCCAGTCTCTCAGGTCCTCTGGACTGGTGATGATGAACTGGTTTTTGAACTGAGCTTTCATAAACTTCAAGAGTTAACAGTTCATTGAAGCCCGTCCTCTGGCTCCTGCAGCAAACAGCACTTTCTTCAGTGTTTACAAAATATGAAAGCTCTCCATCATGTCCTTGGCCACCATGGAGACCTTTCTTCTTGCCCTCACTCTTTTGTTTCTCCTGGAGCTTTCACACATGTAAACATTTCCATTCATGCTTCACTCAGGCCAGTATTTTAGTTATTTCCATGGCAAATAACTAAAATATCAAGAGATGGTTAAAAAAATGTAACAGAAATAGTATCCCTTTGTTCAATCCCAAACACCTGGGCTGAAAGCACATCTCTGTGGCTGAGAATTTCACTGGTATTTTGTTTTTTTTTTTTTTTTATTCTGTGCTGGGAAGCTGGAATGCTGAAACATCTGCACCCTCCTGTGATTGCACGCACACTGAGTTTTTACAATGAAAACATAATGGTATGGATCTGGCAGCCTGGATCACGCATCTGATTCAGCAGATGCCAATAAAGACTGTAGCTGAATATTAGATATTATTAAGAAGAAGATGTAAAATAAGGCTGTGAAATAGCATAGGTTGGCTGGTAAGGAACGTCTTCCTGATGCTTGGAAGCATGAGATTCGGTGTGGGAGTTACATGCTTTGATAAAACTATTGCAGCATTACTGCCAGTTCAGTGTATGTATTTCAGAACAAAAGGATTTTGGGAACCCTCATGAGAGAGACAAAAAAACCATCCCAGCATCTTTGCTGGCCTTCATCAATGCCAACACAGTTGAGCAGTACACTCCTAGTCAAGAGCACATACCTATTGTAGCTTGGATTCACTGGCCAACACAACCTGTAGCACTGAGATTTGCTGCACAGTAAGGTCAGGATTGCTGTGGGAGTTTAAGCCACGAATGCTCCCTGCAGTTTGATACTTGGTCGGGAAATTTAGGAAGATGAAACGGATGAACAGGCCTCAAAATTTTCCATGGTACTGGCATGTGAGTTGGCTTCACCTGACCTAAGAGGCCCTGGTGGCTGCAGTGCCTGGGCACTGCTCATGGCTTTGCAGGGGCTGCCAAAGGCACCTTCCATGGGCACTGGCACTGCAGGACCTGCCTCAAAACCTGTCAGCCAAAATCGTGCTGGTGTTGCAATAGGAATGTCACCCCAGAACCCTCCCTCCATCTCCCTGGGGTCGTCACCACAAGAAGGGATGGGCAAGCACCATCACCTGTGGTAGGCAGCCCCTGTGGAGGACCTGTAGGTGCCATGGGACCAGCACAGGTCAGCACTGGGGCACCCCGCCTGCAGCACTGACTGGATGGCGGATGTGGGTGGAGAGGAACTCGCCTGTGCCCAGCAAGGAGGAAACCTGACTCCTGGGAGCTGGATCCCAAACCCACGCGCCACCAATACTGTAAAAAGAAAATAACAGAAGGGAAAGAAACAATCAGAAAAGAAAAAAGGTCTGCTCCTCCATGCCTGAGACACTGCAGAGGTAAGAAAGCTTCACTCAAAAAAAAAGAGAAAAAATATTTAATCAAGCCTTGGCTTAATAGTGGGGGTGTCTGATCATTCGTATATCACGTGCAGAAGGTCTCTGACTTTTCTGACAGAATTCCCAGCTGGTTTCATGCGCAGCATTGCATATTGTGTGCCTTTCATGGCCTTGCAGCCCTCCAGTGTGGGGTCACGGCATCCTTCTGTTGGGACCCAGCAGCAGTTTCACTGTGCTCTATGTTGCTCGCTTTGGGTGAAGGATCGTTATTTTCCCTGCCAGCAGCAGCTTTGTCACTGCTGTTCTTTTGGCTCATGTAATTGGCATTTGGTATATCCAGCAGGGCTTACAAATAGCGGGAAATGTGTGACTCCCTGAAGAGGTGTAACAAACACTAGCTGCTCCACCAAGGCAAACAGGGCTGCAGAGTTTTGAGATGAGCAGACTGTGGGTTTGGTAGGAACCGTTAGGAAGTTTACTGAAGTGTTGCATCTAAATCTCTGTCTTTTGGACATAAATGGTAGAGCAGAGTGTACAGTGCCAGGAACTTACCTGAACAGTGGCTTCTTGTCTGCTTATGGATGAGTGAATTTTGCTCCAGCTGCCCCAATACCTGGACAGAAGGGGATGCAGGTGCCTGTACAGATTTCTGGTGTTATTTGAGATGCTAGAGAAGTTATCCCACCTGCCCACCCAATGCTATTTGAGAGCAGTGTGGGTGTCCCACAGGTGTCATCCTGATGCCTCTGGGGTGTCTTGGCTACTGTGGGGTGTTAGAGGTGGCACTGCACCCTTCTGCTTGAGCACCTGAGCCTCATCGGGGGTTCTGTACAGCAAGGCCAGGTATTGGGGTTTCCTTCCCTTTTCTGGAAGAGCTGCAGCACTTCCCAGAATGGTGGCATGTGACCCAGAATCAGTGAGCACCAGTGAAATGCTCCAGTGCCTTTCAGCAAAAATTTGCAGAGTATCCCAGCATCAGGATGGGTGGGCCAGGCCCAGGGCTTGATCCTTGTCCTGCCCCAGGACAGAGGGCTTGCCAGAGCCCTGGGCTGTGCCCACCGCTGGCTTTGGAGGAGAGTGGCTGTTTAGCCAGCCCCAGGCATGATGTGGCAACTTAGGGCAGAATGTGTTTGCAGGTCCCTCCCTAATCATGAAGGAACAGCAAAGGAGAAAAACAGTTCCACAGATTTTGTTATTGCAAAGCCCTTCGCAATTCAGCCACACAGTAAAGCTTTACCTCTTCTGACAGGCTCTTCCAAGCACCTTGTTTGGTTGCTTTTGAGCCGGTTACACTTGGAATTGGTCCCTAGCTGGTGGCCAGCATGGTCAGCTGCCGGCACTGTGTGCCGGCACCTATTGATCCTCCTGAGGACACTGCTGAGAGATAGTTGTAAGCGATGTCCTGCGTGCCCTCTTGGATGCTGGTCAGTAATGATTTGTAACAGCAAGGTCAGTGTATGTGACCCAACCGACTCATCTGCCATTAGCCCTTAATGACCTCATTATAACTGTACCTCAATATAATGCCTTTGAGGCATCCAGCCTAGGAGTACTGTAACTCTATGCTTTCCCTCTGCATGCTGCCCTCTATCTCAGCTCTGCTTTTGTATCATTCGTTAGATGCTCTTGGTCATTAATTCCCTCAAGCTCTCTCCCTACTGCAGCCTCCCTGATTACTGCTAGGTGTCTGTGAATGCTGCCTGGGTCAAGTCCAGCACCCCTGAAGGGAAGGAAACAAAGGAGAGGGTGTAATCAGATTGAAGAAGGGTTGAGTCCCCTACCGAAAGCTTGTGGGTTAAAGCGAGAGGATTAAGATGAGCTTTTCTGATCAGGAAAAGCAGCTGTGATCAGGCCATGGGATCTATCACTGGAAACCCAAAACACCAGGGGAGGAAGCCAGCTCTCCCCTGTTGCAATCCAGAACGCATGGCTGTGTTTCCTAGATGGGGATTAGCGTGGTGGTGGGGTGAGGCAGGGGACCAGGTTTGCAGTGGGAAGCACTGTGCTGGCAAGGCTGGCTGATCAGGAGCTTGGTGCTTGCCTCTCACTAGCCATGCCATCCCAGGGCAGCCGGAGTTAGTGGAGCAGGCTGGGCCACCCTGCTCCTTGGCATGACTGTTCCTACCCCTTAGCTCTGCCTCTGTGGGTACTCCCATAGGGCTGAGCAATTATGGAGTGCAGCACCTCTACTTCTCACTCCACCCCAGCTCCCAAGGGGTAGCAATTTCTGCCTCCAATTGGGGAAACCTGCTGCTGGTCATGTCACATCTTGTCGCTCTGAGATGCAGCATCTTTTGGCTGTCTCTGCATTTCAGTCACCTCTGGGCTGGGGAAGTCATCGCACACTCTCTTGTGTTTCCATAAAAACAGCCAGTGCAATGTGATGACTGATTTGTGTCAGTTCAGCTAACTTACCTTGTGAAGTTTCTGTGTATTTTTCATCACAACCACTATGGGGAGGGACATCTCCCAGCATCTGCCTGAAACAAGCTCATATTTGAGTATATCTGAATGTTTCCACTCCAGCATGGGAAGCTACTTTGCTGGCTTATTGCTCGATGGCTTTGTGACTGTCTAGAGGTTTCACAGTTAAATCCCAGCCTTTCCCGACAGTGACGGTGGACCCTAGCAGGAGCTGAGATGGCCACTGCACCAAAAGAAGCAGAAAATGCTGTTGGCTTGGAGGAAATCCACACGGAGAGACAAGAACCCCCAAAAGGTGGGTGTGTGTTGGTAGGACTAGAAATTTGGGTCCTCATTTAGCTCAGGTAGAGGGAAGGTCCCCAGTCTTGGCACTCCAACTCCCTAAAACCTCTATACAGGGAGCCACAAGCTTCAGCTTCATACTGCTCCCCTCCCATAACAGCTACCAGGCTGGTGGCTGCTACCTATGGTGGTGGGAAGAGCTGACTGGCTTGGTTTTTCTCAGGCCTCTGCTTTGTGTAAACATTTTATTATGTTGGTAATTCAAGGATTCTTTTATTTTGAAAAAAAAAAAAAAAAGAATGTATTCTATTTCAAAAGTATTTTTAAGTTAAAAAAACCTAGAAAAGCATGAAAAAGTCCTGTATTTGCAAAAAAAAAAAAAAGGTTTTTTCTCCTGAAATTCTGCAGTAAGTTCTACTCCATTTTAGAGGTAATGTTGCTGGGTTTGAGGTGATTTAGTTGGGAGATAAATGGCCTGACAGCAAAATGTATGCAGTTCTGACTTTACCTAAATAAGAGTTTAAAAGTGTACATATACTGAAAGCTTTCTGCCAGGTCTGTTTACAACGGTGTCTCAGCTCTGATCTTGAGATGCTTTTTTTGCTCCTGAAATGTTGGGGAAAGTCAGGAATAAAGGCTTAGGAGACAAACTGAGCCCAGAGCTCCCAGCTATGCTTGTCTTGCAGGGTTTAGGGCTAGGGCAGCCCCCCAGCTCACACCGCCCGTGCTGGGAGCGGGCCTCCCTATCCCAGGGGTGCAGAGGGACTGAGACTCACGGCAATTTGGGCAGCAGGAGAGAGTAGACCATTGCCCAGACGCAGTCCAAGCCATGTGTTTCTGAAGCAGCCGGGGTAACTCAGTACAAAGCCATGTCCCTGTGCCCAGCCTGCCTTCTTCCTCGCTGGCTGCTGGTGCCCGGCCACCAGCATGCCCAGGGGCTGCTCAGAGGACACACAATGGGCAGATGTTCCCAGCCTTTTCCCTGGTGTGATCCCACAATAGCATGAAAAACATTGACATTTCATAAAGCGGAGGTACAATTTGGCTGCTGACGTGGTTTTTGTCTTTGTGTTTCCTTCCCTTTGGTGTTCAGGGCAGAAGACATTTACAGTGCAAGAAGCTGTGGAAACCATTGGGTTTGGGAGGTTCCACATTGCGCTTTTCCTGATCATGGGCAGCACTGGGGTAGGTGTTTGCAGCCATCTGCACTGGACTGAAAAAATGCTTTTCTCATTTTCCTTATTACCGTGCAATAACAACCGTAAGCACCATGAACACTTACTGCAGCCCATTTTTTTTTCACACATACCTTCTCAAGCAGGATTTCTGCTGTTGTCATCTTTGGCTAAAGTAGATATTGGCCACAACTGATATCAGACCTATTTCGGGGCAAAGCTGAGCAGGTTGGCCCAGAGCATCCTGGCCTGGTCCCTGCCCTGGAGCACTGTCCCACTGGGCGGCACTGACAGGGCACGTCTTCAGTAGTGCCTGAGGGTTGGGTTCAGCCTCCTGACAGCACTTTTCATCCCCAGGTCACCCAAACCCTGTGCAATCTGGCACGGGAGGGCTGCTGTCCTCTCACCCTTGGCTACCTGAAAAATTTACTAACTGCCAGGATCTTGGGTTAATGGTGTATCTGGTTTGGGAACTAGGGCAAAAGCCTGAGGCCAGGCTGGGGTAGACATGCAGTGGGGACATCACCATGAGGATCACTGCAGCTGAGGTGTAAAAGCCTCTAGCTATGTGTAAACGATAGGCTCATTTCTTAACTGAAACCAGCTGCTGGGGCAAAGAGCCAGTCCAATGGAGCAACTAAGTTTCCAATCAAAAACAGTTTTAAGAGGTTATCTTTGTGTTAGATGCCTGAATTCACAGCTGGGTACATAACCAAGCAGTTTGGTTTCCAGAGATAGTTGAAGATCTTCCACTAGCACAGCTGGGTAAGAGTCTCCTCTGCAAAGGATGAGCCTTTCCAGCCTTCCTAGATACACAGTGTGCCTCGATACCTGCTATCTAGGTGCACCATTCTCCCCTCCTCTCCCTGTTTCCAAGTGCTCCCGTCTTCCAGATCAGGCCACTATAGGGGCACCATGGCTTCACAGGGCTGTTTTGAGATGGTTGGACTGCTGTGGCTGCAGGCTTGGTAGGACTGAGGGACCTTCCCCCATGGGCTCCTTGTGGCTTCCCTTCTTGCTGATGCGTACACTCATTCCCAAAGGTGGTTGAAGCCATGGAGATCATGCTAATAGCTGTTGTGTCCCCTCTCATCCGATGCGAGTGGCAGCTTCAAGACTGGCAGGTGGCTTTAGTGACAACGGTGAGTGACTTGTGGTCCCCCCATGCAGGTCATCCACCTTGTGGTCATTGTCAGAGGCACCACCACAGGCTTTGTACACTGCATTTCCCAGTGGACCAAATGAAATCCTAGGGCCTCCTCTCAGGGACAAGAACAGTACCGTAACTAGAAAAGCAGAAAGTGAGCTGACTTGAGCACATGTCCTTGCCCAGAGCTATAATGTCAAAACAAGTCCCCACTTCTATATTTTTATTTTGAAGTCCTTGCGGCTTTGAGGGCTGAAGCAGTGAGTGCCTACATGGAGGAAGTCAACCCCTGAAAGCCACCTCGCTCATGGTTCTGGGCACTGCAGTTCATCCTGCTGCTCGGAACGCATTCAACACCCACAGTTCAAAGAGCAGGGCTGCCCGGTGCTGCTGGGAGTGGGCTCTCCACAGCTGTGTTTCAATCTGCCTTAGATGGTGTTTTTTGGCTACATGGTCTTCAGCATAGTCCTCGGGCTTCTGGCTGACAGGTATGGCCGCTGGAAGGTGAGTGCTGGGGGCTGCACGTCCTTTTCCTGACCCCACAGGAGCCATGCACCTGTCTGAGCCCATGGTTTGATGACCCTAATTTTTCCCCTTTTTCAGATTCTGCTTCTCTCATTCCTCTGGGCATCCTATTTCTCCCTGCTGACCTCGTTTGCCCCATCTTACATCTGGTTTGTGTTCCTGCGGGCCATGGTAGGTGGTGGCGTGGCAGGACACGCGCAAGGGTAAGGCCATTGTTTTGCCCCTTGTGGCATGGGCAGCACGAAGCCAACCTTCACAGGGAGGATAGTGGAGGCACCCACGGACCCCGAGGGGCTGAGTTCCCGGGTTTACAGCAAGAAAGGCCCTTCAGCTTGTTTTGGTTGGCCTTGGCGGAGTGCTCGGTTTCCCTTGTGCTGAGCCTGATAAACCGTGGCTGCGCAGTGACCTGGAGGAGATGGCGGGGAAGGGGCCTCCATGGGGGCTGGAAGGGGAAAGGGGAAGCAAATTCCCATGCTGCCTTAAAACAAAATGACATTCTGTAATTTCACTGAATCCTGGTTGATTGACCTAAATTGCATTTCCCAAGGACTCCCAAGCCCTGGAATAGAGGGGGCAGCTGGTTTACATTAAGCCAGTGACAGAGAGATTATTAAGCACATATATTATAAAAAGAATTAGACAGGTAACAGATGAGCAAAGGCTGCTTCCTCGTAAAAAAGTCACAACGATTCTGCTTAAGTAGCAAATTCTTCTTGAACTGATGTAAAATGTTCCCACTCAAATGAAAATTTTGCCCTGTTGGGGAAGAAAGGGGGACATGGAGGGGGAGAGGAGAAATTCACAATATTAACAACCACTTCACAAGGAGCCTGACAAAATAAATTATTTCTTTCAACTGTCTCAGGGAAGCAAATGCAACATTTCAGCATCTTCCGTAGTTCCTCAAAGCCTGGTTGCTGCCCATGCAGGAAAGCCCAAAGACGGTCACACTGACCCAAGAGCCGTTTGCTGAGGCAAAGGCTGGGAGGGAGATGGGTGCTGTTGGGAGGAGAAGGCACCGTGGACCTGAGCTGTGCATCCATTGAGCTCCCAGGACTGCCTCCCCTGCATTCGCTGGCTGTGGAGGCTGCTTATGAGCCTAATGAGGATGGAGGGAAATTGCTCATTTTATAAAACACTTCAACAGTTGAGGCAGAAGGAACCAACGTGGGTGCCTCCCAACCTCTCTCTCTTTCCAGCCAAGGAAGCACAATTCACAGATGTGAGCTTGAGAGATGCTGGTGCCGTTTCCACCCCCAAGGGCTATCCAACCATCTGATAAAAAGTGGAAGGGACTGTTTTCTTTAATGAAAAAATGATTCGCTAAAAATTTGGTGCCTGCCCAAGTAGAAGGCATATTGAGCAAGGATCCCCCGTCTCTGGGTGCTCGGTGGTGGAAGAGGGATGGAACTCTGTCCACAGGCAGCAACGTCCAGCACTTACTGAGCTGAACTACTACTTGATCAATACAGAAATTCTCTTTGTTGCTGTATTTCTGCCTTTTGTTCCCTTTTTCTAGGCTTATCATAAAAACAGAATTTTTGCCCACCAAATACCGAGGATATATGCTGCCCTTATCTCAGGTAAGAGTGAGCACATTACTGTTTCTTCTCATCACAAGTCCCAGGAGATTTGTCCTGCTGCTGTTTGGAAGCCAGGTCTCCAGCACATCAGCCCTTCTCCCAGAGTATTCGCACTTGTCTGGGTCCGAGCGGGTGCCTGCTGCCTCCTGCACCCCAGAGTGTGGTGTCTGCATTTATAAAGACGTACACAGGCAGCTGCCTGCAGAAGAGAGGCAATATCTTCTCAAATAATGGGATGTCTCAAACATTGCATGGGGACTTTGAGTGATGGCTGACACCTATCCTCTTCATTGCCATATCGATAACTGCACTGTCTGCTCTAATGGGGCTGGTGCACATGGGCTGTCCAGCAGGCACTGGGGCTACTGACACCACTGTCCCCCTCCAAGCCTGGCCTCATCCCTGCCTCTCTTTGGACCCCCAGTGATAGCAAATGGTTAATGAGGTGATTCCCAGATGAGGTCCTAATCTGCATCTCTCCCTGTCCCTGCTCAGGGACTGCACGGGGCTTTGCACAGGACAGAGCTAGCATAGACAGTCACAAATTTGACCAGAGACATGCTGGGAGGGTTGTGACTGCTTGCTGGGCAAAGACCATAGCAAGCGTGACTGGGGTTGTTGCTTACTCCAGATTTCTGCAGTAGGCACTTTCTGCATGTGCAAATGATCTACAGAGGCCTCACTGAGCACATGAATTCATCTGACTGTTGAACCAAAAGTGTTTGTATATGGTCTTCGTGGCAGGGATAATTTGCTTTTCTTTACTGCCTCTTTGATCCCAGGGCTTCATTACCAAAGTGTCGTCAGAAACACAAAGGTTTACAAAAAAGAATAATCTTGTATTTCTCCCCAGAAATTTGTTATTTCTGCCCACAGATTACTCATGAACTAGCTGCGGCTTTTATGTATTTGTTTGTGCTTTGTGTTGGCTGAGCTCCCTTGGGTGGTCCACTGGAAAGGGACACGTCTCCTAGTGGCAACAAGTGAACTTTGGGGAGGAATGTACTTGCACATGGCGGGGGGCAGATTCTCCATTGATATATCTTGGCATTGAGTCTACTGGAGACCCATCAACTTCCAGCAGTGGAAGTCTGCTCAGTTTTTTTGCCTTTGGTGCTTGTAAATCTGCTGCTTCCCCACAGAGGTTTAGACAAGAGGAAAATTCACGGGCATGAACATTAGCAGAGAAGTGACTGAAAGGACGAAAGAAGTGGCTTTAAGTACAATGGCAGCCACAGCAAGTTATCTATTTTCAGCTGGAGATAATTAAGACTGTCTTCAGCCATCCCTCCCCAAATCCTTGTCTGTCTTTCCCTCTTTCCTTCAACCCAAGCTCAGCTTCTCACGCAGCCATGGGGTGGCTCGAACTGCTGCGCTCCCCAGCACAGATCCTCACTTATTTGTGAGATCAGACCAGGAGAGAAGAAAACAAAAAAGTCTTTCCATGCATTCATGTTTTAACACCTTCCTTTCCCTCGGAAAGGTGTTTTGGTTAGCAGGATCCTTGTTAATCGTTGGCCTGGCATCAGTGGTGAACCCAACTGTCGGCTGGCGGTGGCTGATCAGAATCGCCTCCATCCCTGGAATCCTTCTCATTCTGGTGTTTAAGGTAGGATGAGCCTCTCTCCCTGTTCCCTGCCCCACCACCAGCATCTTGGCATCTCCCCAGGTACCAAGAAACACCACCTTCCACCCCACACAATCCTGGGCCTGTCCTTGTTTCCTCCTTTCAGCACCTCAGCCCTCTCATTTGGGGGGCTTGGGAAGGTCCTGATAACCTGGGGGGGGGCACTGCAGACCAAATGCTGGGGGGATGTCACCCTGCAGGTGATGGCTTGGCTTTGCCTTCCTTTGACAAGCCTCTGGCTTTGCTGCCCTGCTGCAGCCCTCCAGCACCCCGGGCTCCACTGTCTAGGCTGCCAGCAGTACCCAGATACCACAGTGATCAGTCAGGCATTGAGAGGAAGACAGGTTAGACAGAATGTGCAAAAAATCACAGTACCCTCTGTCTAGTTCTGGTCACAGCACATCCTCTTCAGTCTTTAAATTTGCCAGCACTGAGGAAAGAAGCCTCAGTAAAGTGTTCACACAGCAAATGGGTGTCAGGGTTAACCACAGCTTTCCCAGGTCTACTCATGCTTCAGAAATATCAGCCTCAGATGTGAGGATTGTCTTATTTGTGGGGAGTGATATGGAACATCCCTAGTTACTTGTGGGCAGTGCAGTGCTAATTTGTGGCTGGTGCAAGTTGTGCCGATGTGAAATCCCTTCCTGCAGTTGAACAAATGCACAAGTCCGTCTGGGGTGATGATACCTGGGCAGTCAAATACAAGATTGCGGTGAACATCCACTTGTATATCTTTGATGTTTGGTTTCCTTGATTATTTTTGCCAGAAAAAATGGGTAGCAAAAGTTTTCAGTCCAGAGGAAAAAAAAGACACAGTCAACATACATACCTTTAAAAAATGAGTCTTTAATTTCTGTTTTAGTGTTACACATGTAATTGTTTATAATTTAACAGAGCCATAATTTAATAAAAAGTTATTTCATTTTGTGGAGAGCACCGGGTATGGGTGAACGTTGCAAATGCTAGCAACGAGTGAGTTTGTTCCTAAATTTTATCAATGTCTTCCTTTTTTTGTTGAGTCTTCCAAGTTTTTCACTTGAATAAGCAACACATCCTGTTTTAGAATTTCAACTTATTAGGGGTTGCTATTGTTAAATCCATGTCTTTGGCCTCGCCCTCTCACGAGTGCTTGCTGCAGACAGCTCAGTAGCAGACCTCTGGGGGCTGGTCCAAGAAATGCGTTTGCTGGGCAGGGTCAGTCCTCCAACATGAGGAATGGGGAGCTGGGGTATGTTGGGGTGCCCCAGGGCATGGCTGGGGAGGAGGGCACGCAAAGGGCTGCTGCTCCAGCTCAGGCAGTGTCTCATGCTAACCTGGATGGGCTGGCTCTTGGGCACGATGGGAAGCTGTGGGTAGGGTTGCATGGATGGAAAGGGGCAGAAAGGCTTTCTGATGTAGCTCTGCTTTCAGTTCATCCCAGAGTCAGCACGGTACAACGTCTCCACAGGAAACATGGCAGCTGCCCTGGCCACACTGCGGAAGATAGCCAAAATGAATGGGGCAACAATGCCTGAAGGGGTGCTGAGGGAGCCCACCAAGGTAAGCCATGCCCATGGCACTGCCCAGCCCCTCTTTCCTGGGCTGAGCTGCAGGAATCTGGGGCTCAGGAGGGAGCAAGACCACCAAGCATGTCTCTCCCCACCTCTCTCACCCTCCACACCTAGTTTCTCACCAAACAACTATTGAATGTGATGGTGAAGATGTCATTTTTCTTCTGGAGAGACAATAATCTTGGCCCTCAAAATGGAGTCAGGGTTTCTGCTTTTTTCACATTCTTAATTTTTGCTCAGATAAATACTTTGCAGAGAAAAGATTTTCTTCTTTTACCACAAAAAGAGCTGCCAGCAACGTGCGCTCTTCCTTATTGCCCATCCACCCCCCAGGGGTGTCCCTGTTGCCATGAGACCTGGCACCTGCCCCTCGGGGTTCCTCTCAGGGCTGTGTCAGGCTGTGAGATCAACCTGCCAGTCCCAGAGACTTCTCCCAGCCCCTGGCCAGTCCCAGAGACTTCTCCCAGCCGCTGGCTGGGCTTGTCTGCTGGGTCCCAGCACTCCAAGTCCTTGAGTGTGGAGCCACAGACCAGCAGAAGAGGGTCAACGCAGGAGAGGCCATTTCAGAGCTACAGCTGTTTCCACCTCTGAGCAGCCAAGCAGCTCAGGAGTTGATCGCTTCTGGACCAACATGCCCAAAAACACATGTCGGTGTTGCAGGCTGGGCAGAAGTGGAGCTAGGGGCCAGGCACGCCCCCCTCGGCTGCTCCCTCTTACCCCCAGTCTGGGCCCTGCTGACTGCAGTGTGGGAGGACTTATTTGGGTGGCTCCTTTGACCCCCAAGAGAGGAAGATTGGACAAAACTATTGTCCTTGGGCTCAAAATTGTTATCCAGCTCTTTTAAGTCCTTTTCCTGGACCTCTTTGGTGCTTATTCAATCCCACAGGCACCAAGCATTGTCCTTAGCAATTCATGCAAGATGGTGCTATTGTATTGGAATTAGTTAGGATTAAAGCTTCCCTGTAGTTTAATTGAATTTATGTAATGGACTCGCATTGGCTGTGGGAAGGATTTTTTGTTCGTTGTGCACTCTCTCAGGCTTAACCAATGATGAGGAAAGAGAAAAATAAAGGCAACCAAAACTGTTGCTGTGAACTTGTCTCCCCTCAGTGGTGGGACACCGAGGCAGCTGCCAGCTCCAGGGGAGCAGCAGGGCAAGCAGAGCCCCCAGTGCTTGCTTGTTTCCTAACTCCACTCACCAGCGTTTCAGGACTCCCGGCAAGATGCACATGGCCACAAACTTGCTCCACATGCAAGCCCCCCACATGGGCCACTCTCCCCAGCACAGGGGGCAATGGGAGCGTCTGGCAGCCCCAGCTGGCCACCTAACTGGCAACCAGGTCCTCCTCCAGTGATGGTCATGCTGGGGCTGGAGCACTGGGAGCTGGAGGGAGGGTCCTGTGGGGCTGGGGCAGGGGTGCATAGGGTGCTCTCTTCTCCTCCCCTCTATCCTTTGCATCCTGGCCTCCTGTGGGCATCCTGTGGGAAGAGGAGCTTTCCTCTCTGGAGGGCTGATGGAGTGCTGTGCTGCACCATCTGTAAGACCCTCTGTTCTATCACCAGCCTGGGGTGGGGGCAGCAGGGCTTGGGGTACCAGCTGCTGCTGCAGAACACTTGTTCCTGTATAAAATATGCCTTTTTAAAACCTTCTATTTCTATTAAATGATTTTCAGGAAAGAGGAGGAAGATTTAAGGACCTCATCCACCCCAAATACCTCAGAACCACTTTGCAGATATGGATCATATGGTAAAAAAAACTCTTTTTTTTTTTCCTCTTGCTTATCAGCTCATTCTCTCAGTTGAACATGCACAGGGAGTAGAAGTCTCCTCTTGACTGTGCCATTACAAGGCACCACTTATGCCTCAGAAGGTGAACATAGATCCTTGGCAGCTGGCGGGAGAGTATGTGGGCACGGGTCATGGTGGGCTTGTCCTGATCTCAGACCATACCTCAGACACCCCGTCAGTTGGTGTTAATACAGGCAGAAAAAGGCTGGACTTCCAGGATGTTGCAGAGTGCCATGAGCCCCTCCTCAGGACAGGCTGGCTCAGGGGAGCTGGGGTGGGAGCTGGGCGAGAGCTGCAGGAGACAGCCCATGCCTGCCCGCAGTGTGCACCAGGGATGTGCCAGTGGCTCCACTTCTCTTATTGGTGTAAACTTGTTCCTCCTCAGAGGAGGAAAAATGTACCACCTTTGCAGGCCAGCCAACGTGTCAATGAAATAAGTCTCAGACAGAAACTCATTAACTGTTACCAGTGCCACTTGCTGGAGAAAATTAAGATTGAGGATAGAGGAGTTTCATATTGCAATGTTCCGGTAGCTATACGCATGGGTAATACATGTTTCATTGACTTTTCTGTCTGGAATGGAAATGTATAAATAATGGGTCCATGGGAACTCACTGACCCAAAATGTTGCTAAATCAGGCCTTGAATTTCTTATGTTTCCCCCCAAAAACTTGTATGAGTGTTACGAAATTTCTTTTTGTTTTTTTTTGTTTTTTTGTTGGGTTTTTTTTTTATCCTCTTTTCTCTCCCCATGCCCCCAGCAGTTGCTGGCATGTTCTTGGGTTTGCATTCCCACCCTCTGTGCCGCAAACATCCCCTGCCTCCCCGGGCAGCTTGTTTCCTAGCCCAGATTCTGCTGCTTGTTTCTGAAACTGCCAGAGGGGGAATAAAAAAGTGAAAATTACTTGTCGGCCTGCTTATGATTAGGTCTATTCTGAATTACTTGATAATGACACAGTGAGGCTGCCATCGCCAATGCTGTGTTCTTGACAGCGAGCCAGGGTGCAATGTGAGCCTCTCCAACCAGTTAATGAAAACTCCTCTTGTAAATTGCTGGGCAGAAAGGATAAGGACTAAAATCCCCTGGACAATTGCTTTGTGTGAGCTACAAGCATCGGGGCCTGATGTTGAGACTCCCTGGTCCCCTGGGAAGGGGTGGTTTAGAAATATCTGCACTTAAGCCCTGTGTGAGGACAGGGACTGAAGGGACATGCTCTCCCCAGCGTGACTGCAGCAGTCCACCTGCTGCAGAGCAAGAAACAGCACTAAAGATCAAGCAAAAAGACAGGCTATGAGCTCAAGTGTGGTCCTCCAAGGAAGAGAAGTGGATGGATATAGTTGGTACTGGTGTGCCATGCGTAGGGTGACCAGTAACCTGGTGGCCACCCCAGTCACTGCTGGGTCAGGCTAAGGGGGTCCATTGAGCAGGGTGGCAGAGCTGGTGCACTCAGCTGGGGTCCCAGGGAACCTGGAACTTGCCGCATTTCAGTTTCCTTACCTTCCCCATAGTTGCTGCCACTCACTTCAGCATTTCTCCCCAACAGGCTTGGCATTGCGTTCGCTTATTACGGCGTCATCTTGGCCAGTGCTGAGCTACTGGAGCGGGACCTTGTCTGTGGCTCCACAGCACCACCAGTGCAGGACGCTGTCGATGACTCTGAGGAGAGCCACAGCCCCTGCCATTGCCGCTTGTTTGGCCCCGCTGCCTACCAGACCATGATCATCAGCACAGTCGGAGAGATCGCACGTAACCTCTCCTCCCTGCCCTGCTGTTCCCTTTTTACAGCCAGACAACACTCACTGCAAAGATTTTTCGCTTAGCATGCATTTAGTGATGTGCCAGGGGTTGAAATGTCCTCAGCATTGCTGGCAAGTGCTCTTCAAGTGATGGTCTGGGACACAGGCCATGAGCTGGTGGCAAGGGGAAAGGGAGGACATTGCTCCCCAGGTGAATAATTCAACTTCAGCAAGAGTTCTTTCCAACACCAGAGCCAAAATCCTCCTTTGCAGTTAGCCTTGGCTAAATTCCAGGAGAAATTCCTCCTAACTTGCCAGAACCAAGCCTGGCTTCCCTAATTCCCAAACACGTAGTTTTCAGAAAGTCATAAATAAGCAAGGATTGCAAATAGTCACATTGATGTAACTGAATGCCTTCCTTGCCTGTGCTTCTCATGGCTCAGGACCAGAGCTGATGTCCTGCCACTGTACAGAAGGGCAAGTTCAGAGGACAGGCTTCATCCTCTGAGGGGAAGGACAAACAAAAAAGGGACATGGGGGCAAACTACAGGATCTGGATACAGGAAAGGAATTACAGGGTTTGTGCATTTTGTAGAGTATTTGGTAGGTACTGGGGATGCAGAGACATATTTTTGAGGTGTAAAAGGTCTATCAAGACAGACAATCATTGCAGTTAGGTCATCTAACATTTTACAGTTTTCCTTTATATTTCCAGTAAATCCTTTGAACATTCTTGGCATCAATTTCCTTGGAAGACGCCTGAGCCTGTGTATCACCATGGGATGTACAGCACTATTCTTTCTTCTCCTTAATATCTGCACCTCAAGGTAGTCTTGCTGAGGGTGTTGTTGGGGAAAGAGGGCGGGGGGGCAGGGGGGGAGAGTGCAATGCTGAGGGAAGAGGGCAGTACCTATGGTATTCTCAGGTCACCAGTCAGTCAGGACAGTAATTCTTGTACACCTGAAAAATCCCTCTGGTTCTCTGCACTTCCCAGGAAAGCTGTGGCAGCAGATGCTGCAGTGCAGGGGTGTGCAGAGCAACTCACTTGTATTACTGAGTCCCCGTGGCTTCCCCTAAGCATACAACTATCTGCTTTCTTGTGCAGTCTGGAAAATAAAAAGTGATGTGAAGAACATCCACCAGAAAAGTAATATTTTTTTTCAGTTTCTTTTTTCCCCTCCCTTTTGTTTTTGGCAATGCTACATATGTCTCCTCTAACTAGTAGATTCAGGCACTTCAAGGCACTCAAGGCACCAAGGGCAAGACTTCCATGGGTGCTGTAATTATCTGATTGATTTGTGAGGATGTGTAAGAAAGACCCCTCTCAAGCTGGAAGAGCTTAACTGTTACTGAAAATCAAGATGGCTTCAGGTTGTAGCTTTCCCTTATATTAAGCTGGTAAAAGCCTTAGCACCGTGGATATATTAGGCTGTGTGTCTGCTGCTCCCCATTCAACAATACTAACTCTTTGCTCCACACGGCTTTCTCTAGCACAGGCACGACTGGGTTTCTCTTCATGCTGCGTGCCTTGGTTTCAGCAAACTTCAACACCATCTACATTTACACAGCAGAGGTGGGTCCTCCTGAAAGTATTTTAAGCTGCTCTGGGGCATGAAAGACCATTGGCCTATAGTCAGCAATGCTGCTGTATTTATTGACTAGTTACACTCACCTTCCTTGAACTAAGTATCTCTGGCTTCCTGGCCACAGTTTTCATATGCAAGATCAGAGAAGGAATCAGAAAACTAGTTGGAGTTGACCAGGTGGAAGAGGAACGCCCAACTGAGCCACTGTTGGTCAGCTACTACAAAATATTATTTTTTGAGGATGTTGTGTACCACCATCTTCCAAAACCCACAATCTTTCCTTTCCCCAGCCCCTGCAAAAGTTAGAAAATAGGCCAATACCACTGAAAGGAACATTTTCTAGCACTTAAGCAACTGGTATTAGCATACGAGGTAGTATATAACATTATATATTTTTTTTTTCATTTAATGGAAATTGCTGTGTTCTGTCTGCAAATAGTTTTAATCCTTCAGAGAGCTTGTCCTTCAACACAACTTTGGAGCCATAGATTCTGTAGGTTAAGTATATATTGTTGGGGTTTTTTTGTTGTGGGTTCTATTTTCCCAAAAAATTGTGTGGAGTTAAACATATTGCCTTCCAGATTGAGTAAAGTGATAAAAAGCAAACAGAAGGCGTTCCTTCTGGGTTGGTCTGATACTTCTTTTAAGAGCACACTATATTTAAGCATGCATCAGGCTTGATTAAATACTAAACTTGTAATAGTTCTGAATTGGATACTGTTGATGTTCAGAGTATTGCTGCAATGGCTGTATCATAAACCAATACTTCTCAAAATTTGATCAATGATCAAAATCAGACTTGGAAATCCCCTTTCTGGCCATATGCCTGGACTCCTCTTGAATTACCTTACCTCCATTGGCATGGCCCAGTAAAGTATTTCAACAAAGGCTTCCATGAGTATACTTGCTAAAATCTATTGATATTAACAAGACTTAACTGAAGTTAAGCAAAACACATGCTTAAGTGTTTTATTGGCACAGGCGTTTGGGAGATGTGAAAAAGAAAATACACAAAGCACATTCTTCTGAGCCTGGAGGTTTCTTTTTGGGATCTGGTTTTCTTTTTCCTCCTTCTAAACAAAAGTGTTGTTGATATAAGTAAATAGGCAGTCTTGAAGGCTGCAGATATAATATCCTTTCTTCCTGCTTTCCAGATACAGAGCCTGGCAATATAAATTAAATTCTTCCTTTAGCACCCAGCCTGTCTGTGACTTTGATGTGAGCTGCCCAGCACAGCTGTGAAAAAGGTGGTGGTGGTGGCGGCAAGCAAACAGCAGAGGAATCACATCCAGCTTCGACTGACTTTCCCTAAAACTTTACTTGCGGCAAAAAATGACGGATTTGTAATGGCACAAATGAGACCCAAATTAGCCTTTATTTCTTTTCATAGCTTATCCCACTACCTGCCCTTGATAATGTAATGGGTCTCTCTAATGAAAATCTAAGGAAAAAAAAAAAAAAAGGAAAAATAAGGACACATATCACAGATCATTTTTGCACCAATCTGATTTCTTTCTGGGCTGTTTTAGGTTTATCCCACGACAATGCGAGCCCTGGGGATGGGAACAAGTGGGTCACTGTGCCGTGTTGGAGCTATGGTGGCCCCATTTATATCACAAGTAAGACCACACCTGATAATATTGGTAAACATTGTGCCAGTCATTACTATTAGATATACAACAGAGATGCCCCTGAAGTTCACAAAAGAAAAGGGGGGGATGTAATCAATTCCTCACTTCCCCAGTTCTGTATACAGAGTACTTACGCGGTCTTTGTCAGATGGAGCTCTGCATAAATCTCATCCCAGAGCTTAGCTTGCTAGTATTTGTTACTTTCTGAAAGCTCTTAGATTCACAAGACATTGGTTTCCTATTATCAGTTCTCTCAGGTGTTTGTGACCCTTTCTCCACTCCTTAGTTCCTAATTAACTGACAGCTCTCCGTACCACTAAGCTGATATTTGAACTGTTCTTTCACCTGCAGGTTCTCATGAGTGCTTCTTTTATCGGGGCCCTGTGTCTTTTCTCATCTGTGTGCATCGTGTGTGCAATCTCTGCGTTCACACTGCCCATCGAGACCAAGGGCAGGGCACTGCAGGTCTGTATTACCACTCCAGGAGCTCCTGCTTATCAAAATGTTATTTAGCAACCGGTAGATTATGATTCAGATGGAATCCAAACCAAACTCTCCTGAGGGTTCATAAGCCAAAATAAGGCCTGACAGGCAAGCACAGGAACATGCTGTTGCAGCAGCTTGAAGCACTGTCACTCCAGTTGCCTAAAGCTCATTTCTCATACAAGAACAAACCAGAAGGCCTGCCTTAGCCCAGCTACCTCATGGTAACCTGTTAGCTGCAGGTAGTGCAAACCCCTCTTTGCTAGTGTCTGCAGTCCTGACTTGAAGTTGCTGCTTCACAGACACACATTCTGTTCTGCAGGGAGAGATGACAGCAGATACAAGTAATACCTTAAACTACTAAAGCCATTTCTTCATCAAAGTCAAGTCAAAAGCCCCAACTGCATCAGCCTGTTTAGCTAAGCCCTTGTGGCTAGTGCTTCCTATAAAGCAATCAGCCAGAACACTAAGCACAAAGATTAAGGGGGAAAGTTTAAATTGAGACAGCCTCCCATGGAGAAGTCGCATGAGTTTAATTACAGAAGGTGGTGAGCAGTTCTGATTTTGATTCAGCTATACCAGCATGGAAATTTTCACGCCATGCATGCAGTGTGCCCACGTCGCACTGACTGCCGTCTTACCTGTATAAACCATGGGCTAAATAATCCACATTCCTTAGCAGCCTAGAACAAGACAGGTGTTTGATCAAACTGTCTTACATGGCTTCAGAACCAGACTTTAAAAAAAACCCAACATATATACAAACACACACATATTACACCTATACACACACACACTTAACACACTTCACTTCATTGGGTCACAAAAGGTTTCCCAAGATGCATGGGACAGTTAACCTTACGGTTTTCAGAAAAGCAACATATTAATCATTGCCTGCTTCTTTAAATGCTTGTCTTTTAAAAATGGTAGTTTTTATGCCATTTAAAATACCTATATGATATTCTGTAAAAGACTGAAGAAAAAAATAATCAAAGTTTAAGTAAGGAAGTGGACAAAGCAACAGTCTTCCCTTGTAGGTGAAATTCAACCCCATGCACAGAGGCCAGAGAGCCACTTAGACATTCAAAATGTTGGATTTACAATAATTACTAAGCAAAACACTTAATTAAAACTGCTTTAGACATAAAAGGAAAGCTTTGATTCAGCTCCAGTTGGATTAACTTTGGCTAACAGTGGTCAAGAGAAATGGGAGGATAATGGTTCCTTAATGGGATCCTCCTTTTTCCTGGGGACTTAATAGCATTATTATCTTCCTTGCTACAAATCAGAATTATAAGCTCCAGCTGCTGGCCTTTACATGCACAAGTCAAAAGGACAGAAATACAAAAATCTGCAGAACTAGTTGTGCACTCCGAGAAGCCACCCCTAGATCTTAGAATCATAAAATCATTAAGGTTGGA